AATTGACCTCTAGGCCAACTGACTGTGAGGACCAGTTGTGTCGACAGTGGGAGAACTTCTGTGCTGGAGACACCCTTATGGGGCAGGAGTTGCTTCAGTGGGGCTTTGGTGCTCACTGAGTCTGCCCCTTGAGTGTGTCTCTTATGGATGTGAAGAGTTGTAATCTGGATGGTCTCCCTCTGACCACTGGGTAGACTTGCTCTTGGATCTCCAAGGAGGTACAAAGTCAACCACTACCTAAGGCCACCCAGCAGAAGCTACAGAGATCTGCAGATTCCTCTTTTTTGTTTGGGATTTGGAGGTGCCAGATGAGGGGCCACTGTGAAATAATGCAGGCTGTTGAGGAGCCTTAGGCCTTCTTTTGGAATCTCTGGGATTCTCTGACCCAGCTACAGTTTGACAGGTTTTTAGGTGGAGAAAGGCCAGGCCATTAGAATGCAAAAGCCTCTGCGCACAGCTTGGGTGGGGATGTAAATTGGGTGGGGCGGGGTCTCAGGGACGCCCCGTGCAGGAACAATGAATACTGCAAGCAGTTATGCCTGGAAGCTGCCTTCACGTTCCGGCCCGATGCCAGACAGTACAGTTTCTCTCCGTATGAGTCTGGGTCCCCAAATTTTCACCTGCAGCTGGAGTTCAGAGCAGTTGGGAGCCTGTATCTTCCTCCCGATTGAAAAAGACAACAGTGTACCCAACTGCCAGCCCCTTTGGCGTGCCTCCATACCGCCACCCTTCCACCTTCTGCTGGACTCAATGAGCTTTTCTCTTTCCTTCTAGTTGTAGAATTTCTACTCAGCCACCCTTCCCGTGGTTCTGGATGATATTCGTTTTGTCTTTTAGTTGTAGTTTTAATGTGGTTGTGCGCGGCAGCAAGTTCAGGTGTTTACCTTGCCGTCATCTTGGTTCTCTCCGATTCTTTTTATTTCTTGGTTAAGTACTCTAGGCAGGTGTCATAATTGTCTTACAGATGAGGGAATTACATGGAGGTACACACTTTGAACAGGTTATGTGAGGTCAAATAGCTAAATAATAAAAAGAGGCAGAGCAAAAATTGAATTTTCATGAATTTCAGTTGGTGCCTTTCCCACCTCCTGCTTTCTATCAATTTCCAAATGAATTGTGGATAGACAAATTCAGTGTTTTTAAGAAAAAGGTAAAATTCCTTTGGGGATAGTAAATCTACACTCCATATATTGTTGAGCCCCATCAATGGGGCTAAATGAAGTAAAGATATTTTGCATTAATCAAATTGGTTGCTTGTAATAGAGTCTTGTTTTTCCTAAAAGAGAAATATAGGACTCAGTTGTGATCTAATTGATTTGGGATTAACAGAGGAATACTGACTTGTTTTGGGGAGGTAATGCTCACCTTTCTGTTTTTATTAGGAGTGCTGTCTTACTGGGGAAGAATGAACCATGTTCAGCACAGAGTTGGGCAATCAGGGTACCTTTATTCTCATAACTGCCAAATTGATGGCACTGGCATGAAATGGGGGTATAGGTGTAACTGGATATAGATTATTTTATGTGTTTCTTTTTAACATTTTAAACATTTCTGCTTGCGGTAGTTTCTATACCTATACTCAAGAGCACATTAATTGTATCTCAACCATTAATAGCCATTTGGCACTGTAAATGCTGAATACAAACTAATTTCAATGGAGAAAGTTAGCATTCAGAAAGGATTCTGGTGAAAATTGCCATTGTATAGATAGGTGTAACTGTCTTTGGTATATTATTTTAAATGAATGAGTGTCTCTGAAATAATTTTATGATTCAATTTGAAGATCTCAATATGTAAATTCCAAAATACGCTATGCAATTAGGTTATACTTCATAATTCATGATAGGAGACAAGCTTTTTTTAGTTACACATTTTGGGGAAATATTAATTTGGGTGATAATCATATCCATCTTAAAAAATTTGCATGTTATGTTCTTCTAGATTATTATCAGGAAAAAAATTAAAATCTGTAAACTTTCACAAGGCATAAACACATAACAGAACTTAATTAAAAAAAACATAATTGAATTTTAAGTCACAGACCAAGGTAGGTAAAGGATCAAGGTATCAGTTAATACTACCTTCACAAAGATTCTTAGCATTCCACCTTAAAAATCAAACTGAGCAGAGGAGAAAGCCAGTCCCATCAAGCCCTTAGGAGGAGAGCCTTTTTTTCTTTTTCCTCCACTCTCAGGACATGCCTGACTATCTTGAGAAGTCCGGCATAAGCTAATCCATGAGGTTCAATCAGGCTAAGTAATTGGGGATGTGTCAACTCTGAATTACAATGAGCAGCAGGGAAGGATTTGTCAGCTGACTAATCAGGGATAGTGGTTTTCTTATAGTGCTGCCACGCTGGTAATGGAAGCAGCTACAGCTAACGGTAGCTTTGTTTGATAGAGATTTTTGGCTGCCGCTTTTCAAGAAGCAGCTCATATTTCATCAATGTTTCATTGACAATTGGAAAAGAAGAGTGTTATTGTGTGTAGACGAGATGGCAGAAGCAACTCCCCCGAGAGGCAAGATGAGGTTCAGAAGGAATGCGGTAAGGGCTCTGCCTGCAGTCCTGGAAAGCCTGTTCCCAAGTTCAAGTGCAGTAATGCTGCAGCATGGTGCTATAGCACAAACTGCTGAATGGGGCTTTTAAGGACAGATAAGAGAATCAAGACTTGTATTTGCATGGATTGCATTGATGTGATTTACTGTGATGTTGACATAGGGAAACATAGAATGTAATTTCAAAATCTAAATGTAATCAAGTTTTTATGAGGAAGTACTGTTAGTCAGTTATTTAAGACTGTATGAACAATTTTGAATCATTTGGCAGAGTAGCTTTAAGTCACTAGTTAAAATAAAACTGACAAAAGGATTCAGTCTTTCACCATGGTCAAGTAGAGTATGATATAATGGATAAGGTCTGGAGATGACTTCATCAGTATTTAAAAAGGAAGCCTTTCCTTGTTGTTACTATATAAGTGAAAAAAATGTAAAGGTTAATGATTCAGTCTTTCTGATGTTAATTCTTCTCCAAATTAAAACTTTAAAGATATAGAATTCTAGCCTGTTGACAACTTTTTATATTTTTAAGGAAAAAAAAGAGTGACTGACTTTTCATTATAGGCTAGAATTTAGAAATCTCTCCTTGCAGATATGTTTCCAACATGTTTCTACCTAAAATCCTACCTTCATTAGCTCACTTATATACTAAATTCCCAACAAATTTCTAAAGTTATATTTAGATATATTTGGGGGAAATGCAAAATAAAGTTAGCTTATTAAACAACTAACTGGTTATCAACAGTTTTCTTTCAAAACTTAAGATAACATTATTGATATTATAATTTAAAATGTAATGCTTGATCATTAAAAATGCTGAGACAACACACACAAAAAATAAGAAAGTAAAAATCAGACATTAAAAATGACATTTGGAATCAAAAGTAAGATAAGGGAAAAAACAAATAAGGATTTTGTTACTGAAGTGATCATCAGTGGGTGAGTAAATGTGTTATATTCTAAAAATGCTCTTACCACAGAATGCTATTTTACAATTACAGTTTAGGATATGAATCTTTATTTTGACAAAATGGTATCTTCAGCTCTACACATGAATTTGTCTATGGGAATAATAGATTCAGACTTTTAATAGAGAATTTGTGATGCACAATAAATGCCTGCGTAGGTGCTTTGCAGTATTGGGTACAACTGACAATTAGTACTTTTGTTATCAAAAGTAACTGCTTTAAGCTTTCAGAAAGTTCCTACCTAATTCATATATATATATTCATATTCTCAGTGCTGAACTTAGTTTTACATATATATATACATATATATTAATATACACACAAATACAGCACACAAATAATCATTGAATAGACATATCTAGTACTGGGTTACACATGATATAGATTACAAAGGTAAACATGAAATGGCTACTGAACTGAAAGAATTATCTAGTAGAGAAGGTAGGACGTGTTCATACAGAACTAATATGAAAGAACTTCTAGTTAGCGGGGAAGGTCTTATAAAGGAGATGATATTTGGGCCTTATTCAAAAGCATATGTTTTTATTACCTTTGTTTCTTCCATTATTCTCTTAAAATTTTTTTTTATTGTTTAAAGTATTACATATGTCTCCTTTTTCCCCCATCCCATCCACTCCCACCCCCAGGACAAGACCCACCACCCCAGTGCCCATGTCCTT